TCGCAAGATTATAATGAAATCTTGACAAAGATATACTGAAATATCTTCTTTTTATTAAGGAAAGTGCTATTATATTCTACAAAAAGAAAAAAAATGATCATTTAGGCAGTTGGAGGAGCAGGGGGATCACTCTCAACTGGTCCAAGGAGCTCATCGTCAACTAGAAGAGATGGTTCCTTGACAGAAGAAAGGTTAGCGGCCTCTTCAAGGTTGAAGCCTCGCTGGAGGAAGATCGGCAACTCTCGTAGGAGTGTAGTTAGGGGAGCCAGATCCTTGACCTCTTGCTGAGCCTGATCTCCTCTTGACCTTCCTCGACCTCTTTCTCGTCTCTACCATCATCCTCGAGTCATCTGAGTAGACATAAGCCATTCCCTGAGGCTTCGACTTGCATCCTCAAAGAGGGAAGTAAAAGTCCAGGGTAGAGAAGAGCAAAGTCTAGGTAGAGACCAAGCCAAAGAGAGTGAGAGTTAGCCTCTTGTAGAGTTAAGTGTTCAGAGACGGGGTAAGGAAAAAGTTGGGGAGAATGAACCATCCCTTGCATCGTACATACCGAGAGCACCCTTTCCTCAGTGCTTAGAGCCCCCAAATGTTCCCACTACTAGGAAAAGCACTAGGATGGATGAAATGATTGAGTTGTTTAAGCAGGTGCAGATTAACATTCCACTCTTAGATGCCATTAAGCAAGTACCTGCTTATGCCAAATTCCTCAAAGACTTGTGCACGCAAAAGAGGAAAATGAAATCTCACATACCTAAGACTGTACATTTACCAGAAAATGTAAGTGCGGTTGTCTCAAACCACATTCCTTCGAAGTTAAAGGATCCTGGAGCTCCTATTATTTCTTGTGTGATAGGTAATGTCACGATTGATAGAGCACTCTTAGACTTAGGGGCGAGCGTGAACTTATTACCCACTTCCGTGTATGAACAATTTAACTTAAGTGAGCTCAAGTCGACTGAAGTCAACTACAGTTAGCTGACCGATTGGTCAAAATTCCTAGGGGCCTAATTGAGGATGTGTTAGTTAAGGTTGAGGAACTATATTTTCCGATGGATTTTCTTGTCTTAGACATGGAGTATACGAGCAGTGGAAGTATGCCACCGATTATTTTAAGGAGACCTTTTCTAGCAACAGCAAATGCTTGCAGTAACTGTAGATCTAGAGAGATGGAAGTGTCTTTTGGGAATAGGAAATTGAGACTTAATGTGTTTAATGCTGGGTTAGGATCAATGCGTGAGGACGATAACGAGTGTTTCATGGTTAATGCTATTGATAGTCTAGTGGAGGCTCACGCCCTACAGATGTTATGTGATGATGCAATTTACACTCTTATGAATCCATTTGTTAAGGAGATATCTAGCTTGAGTGTCGTGTCTGAGATTCAGGAGGTTAGTGCGTATATAGCTAGGTCGCCCACTCTAGAGCGTCGACCTTGGAACATCAAGTATGAAACCTTACCACCTTTGTCTAAGACGACACAACCGAGGTCAATTAAGTCTCCACCAGTCTTAGAGTTGAAAGCCTTGCCTGATACTCTAAAGTATGTTTTCCTAGGACCCAACAAGACCTTACCCGTGATCATTGCCGCCAACTTAGATAGTGAGCAAGAGGAGAGATTAGTGGCGGTCTTGATAGCACATAAGGAAGCAATCGGTTGGTCGGTAGCCGATTTGCGAGGGATTAGCCCTTCTTTGTGCATGCATCGCATATTTTGTGAGGAGAATGCTAAACCGGTGCATGAAGCTCAAAGAAGGTTAAACCCGAACATGAAGGAGGTAGTGAAGAAAGAGGTGATCAAATGGCTTGATGCGGGTATCATTTACCCTATATCCGACAGCCAATGGGTGAGTCCAACCCATGTTGTACCTAAGAAGAGTGGCCTCACTGTTGTTGAAAATGAAAAAGGTGAGCGAATTCCTACCCGTACTCCCACAGGATGGAGAGTTTGCATTGACTATAGGAAGCTCAACCTAGCCACTAGGAAAGATCATTTCCCGCTCCCATTTATTGACCAAATCCTAGAAAAACTCGCAGGGCAAGCTTTCTATTGTTTTCTGGATGGCTATTCCGGATATAACCAAGTACCAGTTGCCCCCGAAGACCAGGAAAAGACCACGTTTACATGTCCTTTTGGCACGTTTGCCTTTCGTCGCATGCCCTTCGGGTTGTGCAATGCACCGGCAACGTTTCAAAGGTGCATGTTATCGATATTTTCTGACATGGTGGGTCAATTCCTTGAAGTCTTCATGGATGATTTTTCTGTGTTTGGTACATCTTTTGATGATTGTCTCGAAAAACTTGAGTTGGTGTTAAAACGTTGCAAAGAGACAAATCTTGTTCTTAGTTGGGAAAAGAGCCATTTCATGGTTCAAGAGGGAATTGTCTTAGGTCATGTAGTTTCCAAGGAGGGGATATCAGTGGATAAGGCAAAGGTAGAGTTGATTTCTCAACTACCCCCGCCTTCGTCGGTCAAACAAATTAGATCTTTCCTAGGCCATGCAGGATTTTATAGGCGTTTCATCCAGAATTTTAGCAAGATCTCCAAGCCTTTGTGTGATTTGCTTGCTAAAGATGTGCCATTTGTTTTTGATGACTCTTGTATGATTGCCTTTACCATTTTGAAGGAAGCGTTGACCACAGCACCCATTATGCAACCTCCTGATTGGAACCTACCTTTTGAAGTGATGTGTGACGCGTCGGACTATGCCATTGGTGCAGTCCTTGGCCAACGGGGGAATAAAAAGCCCGTTGTGATCTACTATGCAAGCAAGACCCTCTCCGATGCTCAATGTAATTACACCACCACGGAGAAAGAGTTGCTTGCGGTAGTGTTTTCCCTTGATAAGTTCCGGTCTTATCTTCTTGGGTCTAGGATAGTTGTCTTTACAGACCACGTTGCAGTTAGGTATTTGTTAGCCAAGAAAGACACTAAGCCTAGACTAATTCGATGGATTTTGTTGTTGCAAGAGTTTGATCTAGAAATCAAAGATAAAAAGGGTAGTGATAATGTGGTCGCCGACCACTTGTCTAGACTCTTTACAGAGTTTGTCCCTGGTCAATGTTTGAATGAATCTTTCCCGGATGAGCAATTGTTTGCGATATCCCAATCCAAAGCACCTTGGTATGCCCATATAGTCAATTACTTGGCCGTAGGACAATTACCATTAGGGTGGACCAAAACTCAGAAAGATCATTTCTTTGCAACCATCAAGCATTATTTTTGGGAAGACCCGGACCTTTTCAGGGTGTGTGCAGACCAGATAGTTAGGAGATGTGTTCCCGACCATGAGTTTAGTAGTGTACTTGCATTTTGTCATTCTTATGCTTGTGGTGGTCATTATAGTGGCAAGAGGACCGCTTTAAAGGTCCTCCAGTGTGGTTTCTATTGGCCCTCTCTTTTTCGTGATGCATTCTTTTATTGTCGTGCTTGTACTTCATGTCAAAAAGTAGGGAATATTGGTAGACGAGATATGATGCCCCTGAATCCTATTTTGATTGTGGAAGTGTTTGATGTGTGGGGTATTGATTTCATGGGTCCATTTCCCTCATCTTTTGGCTTTGAATATATCTTGCTTGCAGTTGATTATGTGTCTAAATGGGTAGAAGCCATTGCCACTAGGACCAATGATCATAAGGTGGTCGTTAACTTTGTTCAATCGCACATCTTTAGCCATTTCAGTCATCCGCGCGCCATCATCAGTGATGGTGGCTCACATTTCACCAATAAACACTTTGGCTCACTATTGAAAAAGTACTCAATCGCCCATCGAGTTGCCACACCTTATCACCCTCAAACTAGTGGACAAGTGGAACGTGCTAATAGGGAAATTAAGACTATCTTAGAGAAAATGGTACGGCCCGATCGTAAGGATTGGTCAATGCGTCTGAATGATGCACTTTGGGTCTATCGAACCGCATATTGTACCCCTATTGGCATGTCCCCGTATCGGTTAGTTTTTGGAAAAGCATGCCATTTACCTATAGAACTTGAACATAGAGCATATTGGGCCACAAGGAAATTCAATTTTGATATGACCACGGCCGGTGACCATAGGAAACTCTAACTTTCGGAGTTAGATGAGCTAAGACATTATGCTTATGAGAATTCTCGCATCTCTAAAGAGAAAACTAAAGCTTTTCACGATAAACACATTGTTAGGAAGTCATTCCCTCCTAATCAAAAAGTGTGGCTCTTTAACTCTAAGCTTCACCTCTTTCTAGGGAAGCTTCGATCGCGATGGGATGGCCCTTTTATTGTTCTTAATGTTTTCCCTCATGGAGCTGTTGAAATCCGAAACCCAAAAAGGGGACAAGTTTTTAAAGTGAATGGCCAAAGACTTAAACCTTATGTCGATGGCATTATTGATGGAGAGGTGATTGAGGAGTGTCTTTATTAGAACCACATTAGCCATGTCAGTGCACTGAGTCTGGCTGAAGACTTTAAACTTAGCGCTTGTGAGAGGCAACCCACCTTTGTAAATATGTTTTTATTGCTTTTATGTTTTTGTTGTTTTTGTCTTCATAGAATTGTCATGTTTGAAAACTCATTAACCAGTCCAAGGCTACGCTTATGCATGCTCCACAAATTCTGTTGATGACAGCCCCACCATTGTTCCTCAGGTTGTATCTCTCCACCTTACATGCTATTATTGTTAGATTTCTTGTTTCTCAAATTTTTTGGATTATTTTAATGTTATTGATCATATTGCCATTTGAGATCATTTGATGCTAAGTTGGGGAGGATATTTGTAGTTGTGGGTCATTGAGGACAATGACATTTTANTGCTAATAGGGAAATTAAGACTATCTTAGAGAAAATGGTACGGCCCGATCGTAAGGATTGGTCAATGCGTCTGAATGATGCACTTTGGGCCTATCGAACCGTATATCGTACCCCTATTGGCATGTCCCCTTATCGGTTAGTTTTTGGGAAAGCATGCCATTTACCTGTAGAACTTGAACATAGAGCATATTAGGCCACAAGGAAATTCAATTTTGATATGACCACGGCCGGTGACCATAGGAAACTCCAACTTTCGGAGTTAGATGAGCTAAGACACGACGCTTACGAGAACTCTCGCATCTCTAAAGAGAAAACTAAAGCTTTTCACGATAAACACATTGTTAGGAAGTCATTCTCTCCTAATAAAAAAGTGTGGCTCTTTAACTCTAAGCTTTGCCTCTTTCCGGGGAAGCTTCGGTCACGGTGGGATGGCCCTTTTATTGTTCTTAATGTTTTCCCTCACGGAGCTGTTGAAATCCGAAACCCAAAAACAGGACTAGTTTTTAAGGTGAATGGCCAAAGACTTAAACCTTATGTCGATGGCATTATTGATGGAAAGGTGACTGACGAGTGTTCTTTATTAGAACGACATTAGCCATGTCAGTGCACTGAGTTTGGCTAAAGACTTTAAACTTAGCGCTTGTGGGAGGCAACCCACCTTTGTAAATATGTTTTTATTGCTTTTATGTTTATGTTGTTTTTGTCTCCGCAGGATTGTCATGTTTGAGAACTCATTAACTAGTCCAAGGCTACGCTTGTGCATGCTCCACAAACTCTGTTGATGACAGCCCCACCATTGTTCCTCAGGTTGTATCTCTTCACCTTATATGCTGTTATTGTTAGATTTCTTGTTTCTCAAATATGTTGGACAATTTTTATATGATTGATCATATTTTCATTTGAGATCATTTGATGCTAAGTTGGGGAGGATTTTTGTAGTTGTGGGTCATTGAGGACAATGACATTTGAAGTTGGGGAGTGTTGATTTGATTTTATATTTTTATGAAGTGTTGTTGATGATGCTTTTGTGGAGATTGTGATAGCTTTGTGAAGTGTTGTTGATGAGACTTTTGTGGAGATTGTGATATTTTTGTGAAGTGTTGTTGATGATGCTTTTGTGGAGATTGTGCTTAAATTTTTGTGGCATGATGATGTTTTTGTTGAAAATATGTTGAATCTTATTCTTGTAAGTCCAAAAGTGGTTAAAGTGAACTAAAGTGAGTTATTTTTAAAATTTTTCATGAATTCATGCATAATTACCATTTTAGAAGCAATTAAAGTGCTAGTTGAAAGGTTTTGTGAGGTTTTTGAAAAATTTTTGTGCAACATGGTTTTAAACATTGAACTATTGGTTCTGTTTTGTGCTAGGTTTGTCCATAATTGTGGTTAGACACTGTTTTGTGTAAATGTCATGTGTTTTAGTGTTTATGCAAGTCTCCCACATACTTTACATGCCCATGGAGCAAATTTTCATTTATTATCTTGCCTGTATTAAAAGTGCTTAAATGTTGCTTGATGATTTGGTTTTGATTTGTAGCCTAGTTGACTCGAGTGAGTACGCCCGAGGGGTGTTCTACACCTAATCCCCTAAAGCTATCTAGCTTGGGAGCGGTTGGCCTAAAGCTCGTTACATGGGTCCTCTAGAAAGCTTAATAAGTCATTATATAAATTATGAGCTTTATAAGAAATAAAGAAATAAAGTCTTGACTTGTAGCCTAGTTGGTTCGGGTGAGTAAGTTCGAGGAGTATTCTACACTTAGTGCCCTATAGCCATCTGGTTTGGGAGTCATTGACCTAAAGCCCGTTACACGGACCTTCTAGAAAGCTTAAGAAGTTAAGACAAGAAAAAAAAAAAAAAAAAAAAAGGGTGATGACTGAAAAAGAAATATTATGTCAAAATCTTGTGTGGAAAATGAGCATTATGTTGCGTGTACATAAGTTGGGGAGTTTTGCATGACATTTTAACATTGTGATATGAATATGAAATGTGTGTTTGAGAAGCTTGAATGGAGATAGGCAAATCTTGACAGAAACTTTAGTTCTTTATTTAGGATTGTGTTATTTACTTGTTATGTTCAAATTCTTCACTTTACCTTTTGATGAATGTCTTGGTTGTTGATGAATATGGTTGTGTATGGTTTTGTGAGAATGTTGAAAGAGTTCCTTTAACTTTACTCGAGGACGAGCAAAGAGTAAGTTGGGGAGTGTGTTAGAGTCATGAAAGTGACTCTATTTTGGTGATAAAAATACCCCATTTGTGATTAAATTGAAGTATATTGAGACAATTAAAGAATTTATGAATTTATTCACGAAAATCGCTTCCTAATATTTTTCTTATGAATTTAACGTGTTTGGAATGATTTTGGAAAATATATGAGTTGATATTAGGTTGTGGTTTATGGATTAAGGGTGATTTTGTCTCATTTATGCTGTTTAGGGGGTAAAATGTCATGTTTTAAGGGGCTGATTTTGTCACTTTTCAATTGTGCAGGGACTAAACTGAAATTTTGCAATATGTGCTATAAAAGAAAAAAATGCAGATCGCACCAGGGGGCTGTTCATCTTCATTTTTCCGGCGACCCTTCACCTTCTCCGATCAAGCTCCGGCGACGAGTGGTCTCCTTTTCCGGCGACGATTCACCTCCCCCTTGCTCCGGTCACCATCATCCCTCCATCACCACCGTGAACCAAGCACCACCGCGGCGTTTCGTCTTCCACCGCGACTCTTCGTCTTCCCGGCCAGTTTTGGCCATTTTCCGGTGACGTTCCAGCTCCCCAAGGGTAGATCTCACTTCCCCACAGCCGGATCTACACTTCCCTAGCTTCAGCCGCCGCGAAAACCGCCGGAATCCGTGATTTAGCCGCCGCGACTCTTCATCTTCCAGGCCAGATCCTGCTCATTTCCGGCGACTTCTCACCTCCCCAGGACCTGATCTGAACTCCCCATCACCAGAGCTTTCCATCGGTACCTTCGGATCCCATTTCCGCCACCGTTTTCCGGAGACCCGCCGGAAAATTAACGTTTTCCGGCGAACCGCGGCTGTTCGTATTCCGGGCTGTCCGTTGGTCGTTTTCGCCCCTTTTTCGCACCATATCGCTGTCGGTTACCTCCTCTCCGCCATGGTCAGCTCCGTTTCCACCGTTTCGGCCTCCGTCATCACCACCATGAGCGGCTAAGCTCCCGGTTGTCTGTTACGGCATAGGCGAGATCGGGATTGACTCCACGACTCTCCTCATCAGCTCTCGACTAGTTGGATGAGCCCGATTATAGGACATTTGGTAGTATTGTGCTTCGGATTATATTTGTTTTCGTTTCATGATTGATTTCGATACTTTAATATGATTTGGGCATAACTTGTGATGAATATTGTTGTCCATTGTGATTTAATGTTTTCATAGAACTTGCTGAATGATAAACGTTGGTTTGGAATAATTAAATGATGAATATTGCTTACATTACTTCGCATCGATTGTAATTGAGTTGTGTTTGGATTTAATTTAATTTCTACTATTGTTGCGTTTATTGTGAAGTTGGTTGATTGGATATTACGTGTTGACAGATTGTATTTGTTAATCGCGTACCAACTAGTGGTATTGCCTTGTAGCGTTTATCGACGTTCAATGATAGTCTTTAACCAATCGAACTTGAGTGATCGGGTGAGACAGGATAGATTATACCTAGAGTGTCGGGAAACCATTTCATTGATTTACCTTGCCTTGTAGGTTTAGGGGATCGTAGAGGGTGGAGGAGAATTGTGTGAGTCGGTCTCGTGTCGAACCAAAACCGTAACGGCAACATTTTTATTATAAAATCTTTATTTGTTTTAATTTCACTATTTCATTATTTGCATCTAGTTTATTTAGTTTCATTAATCCATTGCCAATTTCATTTCCACTACTTAAAATACATTAGGTTGTTAGTCTTGCTCCCTATGGATTCGATCCTGCTTACCGCTACTACGGTAATTAGGTTTAATTTTGTGACCGTGACGATCGGTCTAACACCTACTCTTTCGCCAATAAAATTCACATCTAGAGTAAGGATTCTCACCTTTAAGTGCTTAGGATCAACTTGTATCAATTTCTAGTCAAAAGCTCTTCAAAGATCCTTGGAAAATTGAATGAAAGTTTGAGAGAATTGAAGGATGAAAGAGGTGGTGGAAAGGGAGAAATGAAAAGGCTTCTAAAGCTAAACCCTTAATATCTCATATTTTCTCCACTCTTTTCCATTATACCCTTACTCCTTCTTAGAAATTCCACCTATGCCCTTTAATTCTTTGCAAAAACATCCCCATTCAAACTATTCTCTATGCAATTTCCTTGCATTTCACTCCCCACTTTTCCTGCTAATTAGGGGTAGAATGGTCATTGAGCCCCAAAAGGAAGAATTCTCTAAAAACTCAAGGGAAATTTCAGCCGAGTCTTCGCTGCGGCGAAGCTATTTCTTCACCCCGGCGAAAACTTACAGTAGCTACACGGGGGTTGTAGCAATTTATCGCTGCGGCGAAGCTATTTCTTCACCCCGGCGAAAACTTACAGTAACATCAAGATTTTGCCAAGTCTTACAATTTTCAGGGCAACCACTCAACCAAACCAATACACCCTTTTAACTAAGGGCCAAACAACCAAAATTAACAACATACAGACTCAAATAAGGATAAATCAATAAACATTCAAGCCATTCATCAAATCTTAACTACGTACCTCAAGTGGGGCGTTACACTTTGGAACACCTGTTCACACTCGGGAGTCCACTCGAACTTTTTATTGGCCTTCAGAACATTGAAATACGGCAAACAACGATCTGTTAACCTTGATATGAAGCAACTTAGCACCGCTATTCGCCCGTTAAGGTTCATGACCTGTTTTTTGCTGGTCGGGCTTTCCATATCGAGGAGAGCTTGAATTTTCTCGGGGTTGATTTCTATTCCACGTTGGTTAACCATGTATCCTAGGAATTTTCCCGAGGATACTCTGAATGAGCATTTGAGGGGGTTTAGCTTCATTCTGTATAGTTGGAGGATATCAAACATCTCAGCGAGATGCGCTATGTGACCTGAAGCGACATGGGACTTGACCAGCATGTCATCTACATAGACCTCCATTGACTTACCGATCTGTTCGGAGAACATCTGGTTAACCAACCGTTGGTAGGTCACGCCAGCGTTCTTGAGGCTGAAGGGCATAACTCTATAGCAGTACAGTCCCCGATTTATAACAAAGGATGTATGCTCTTCATCCGACGCGTACATCGAAATTTGATTATATCCCAAGTACGCAACCATGAAACTTAGCAGCTCATGCCCCGAGGTGGCATCCATGAGCTGGTCGATTTTGGGCAGGGGAAAGCTATCTTTTGGGCATGCTTTATTGAGGTCGGTAAAGTCGACGCAGGTTCGCCATTTACCATTAGGCTTCTTTACTAGAACTGGGTTTGCAACCCAGGTCAAGTAGAGCGCTTCTCGGATGGATCCGCTTCAAAGGAGGTTATCCACATCTAGTTTTAAGGCGGCATATCGCTCCGGATCCATCGCTCTTCTTTTTTGGCGAACCGGCTTGGTTTCACTATTGATGTTTAATGCATGGCAAATTATATCAGCGCTGATCTCGACCATATCCGTATGTGACCACGTGAACACATCGATGTTCTCTCCGAGGAAGCTGCTCAATTCGGTGGCGAGCTAGGGATTGAGATTGCTCTCGATCCTTAACACTCTGCTCGGCTCG